TCTCTGCTCTGCCAACCACCTTGCTAAAGCAAACTGTGAATAAATAGTATTTACTTATTCTCATTTGGTTTATGTTTATTTGTTACTATAATGCATATGGAAATTATATAAATATCTTGTAGTTTAGTTCCAGCATTAAATTCCAGTGGCTTATTATTAAGGAATTGTGTAAACTTTGGTCACCAGATATAGCTAGTAAAACTGTCTCAGATATTAGACTTCATGTATAATGTTTATGTCAAAGTCCTTATAAGTAACTGCTTAATTCATTACTTTAAAATATTTATAACTGCTGAAACCAGTTTGGCTCAGTGTATAGAGCGTCGGCCTGGAAACTGAAAGGTGCCGGGTTTGATTCCCAGCATGTATCTAGTAATAATTAATGTCGTTTTAAAACATTTGTTTAAAATCTTGCTTGGCGTTGACTTGTATTGACATAACCTTCAAACACGTGGTATCTACAGAACATGTGAAGTGCAATTAAGTTTTGCTTGAAAAAGTTTGTGTTTGGTTTGGTTTTTGTTGTAAAACTAGGGCTAAGAAGATGGCGGATGAAGAGCATATTCGGCACTGCATGCTTTACGAGTTCCAATTAGGAAGAAAAGCAAGTGAGGCTGCAAAAAACATCTGTAGTGCTCTTGGTCAAGATGCAGTTAGCGCCAGAAAATGCCAGCGTTGGTTTGAGAAATTTCGCGAGGGAAATTTTTCATTAGATGACAAGAGTGGTCGAGGCTGTGTGTCCAATTTTGATCAAGAAGCTCTTCAAGCTCTTTTGGTGCAAAATCCTCAAATTACCCAACAAGAACTTGCAACAACTTTAAATTGTTCACAAAAAACAATTTCCAATCAATTGCGTGCACTTGGCAAAGTCCAAAAGTTTGGAAAATGGGTTCCTCATGAGTTGACCAACAACAACCATAATCAAAGAGTCACAATTTGCAGTTCCCTCCTCTCTCGTCAAAACCGTTTTTCCGTTTTTAGAGCAAATTGTTACCGGAGATGAGGAATGGGTGCTGTATGTTAATTTGAAAAGGCGGCCTCAATGGTTGGACAAAAATGAGGCTCCGCAGCCCATGCCAAATCCTGACTTGCATGCGAAAAAAGTGATGTTGTGTGTTTGGTGGAATTTTAAAGGAATTCTTCATTATGAACTTTTACCATCTACCCAAACCATTACAAGTGCAGTGTATAGTGCCCAATTGGAAAGGTTAGCCCAAGCTTTAAGAGAAAAAGAACCCGCGCTGATTAATCGGAAGGGCGTAATTCTTCACCATGATATGGAAAGGTTAGCCCAAGCTTTAAGAGAAAAAGAACCCGCGCTGATTAATCGGAAGGGCGTAATTCTTCACCATGATAACGCACGACCGCATACTGCAAGAATCACTGTTGAAAAACTGCGCCAGTTGGAATGGGAAGTTCTCCCTCAACCTGCATATTCTCCTGATATTGCCCCTTCCGATTACCATTTGTTTCGTTCTTTGCAAAACTTTCTTCTTGGAAAAAAATTTAATAATGAAGAATGCCTCAAAAATGCATTGACTGAATTTTTTGCATCAAAATCACAAGAATTTTACCACAGAGGGATTAAAATGCTTCCTGAGCATTGGGCACAAGTAGTAGAAAACAACGGCAGCTATATTGTTGATTAAATTTTGTTGTATTGTTTAAATAAATTAGATTTTAAAAAGTATTAGAAAACGACATTAATTATTACTAGACCTAATACCTTGGTTGCGGGCACATCCCCAGTAGGGGGTGTGCAAGAGGCAGCTGATCAATGATTCTCTCTCATCGATGTTTCTAACTCTCTATCCCTCTCTCTTTCTCTCTGTAAAATGTCAATAAAATATATATTTAAAAAAATATGTATAACTGTTGTACATACTAGAGATGCAATAATCCCTTGCTATAAATGCTAAAATGAAGCTACATGTAAATATTAAGAAAAGGAAATAAGCAGAGGTTGAGCATAGAGTGATGGGGTCAGTACTTTAAACAACATGGCCAGAGAGACCCGTTTGACGAGATGACATCTGAGCATAGGTATGAACGAAATGAAGGAGCAAGATGTGAAAGTATCTGCAGAAAACTTTTGATGGAGAGAGCATCCAAGTTATAAAGACTGAGGACAGCACTGCTGTACCTGAGAAGAGATGAGGTTGGAAAGATCAGAGAAGTAGTAGGGCACTTCTGATCTTATATATGATCTTATTTGCCACAAATAAGACTTAATTTTATTCTAACTGTGTTGAAAGTCACTGAGGATTTTATCCAAGATTATTTGACTAATATTTCAATAAGATCTCTCTGGCTTGTATACAGAATAGATTGAATGGGGTCAATCACAGAAACAGTGACACCATTTACGAGGCAATACAGTATTGCAAGTGCTTGATGATCAGATCATAGATTAGGACGGTATTTAGTGAAGAGGACAATAAGGGGTCAGATTTGAATATACATTTTAAAGATAGAAACTCTAGAATTTCCTAATGGAGTGAATGTAGAAGGGAGTCTAGGATGACCGCATGGTTTTCATCATGGCCAACTTGGTGAAAAATGATGCCATTTACTGAGTTTGAAAAGCAGAAAGAAGCAGTTATGAGGAGTAGGAAGAATTAATTGTTAAGTTTGGGTCATAGGAATTATAAAATGCCTATGTTAAATACAAATGTGTCTATTGCACAGAGATTTAAATATGCATGTCTGGAGTTCAGAGAAGAGCTAAGGACTGGAATTATAAGTTTAAGAATCATGAACATATAGGTAGTATATGTGAAACAGAGGGAAGTATTAGGCCTAGTAATAATTAATGTCGTTTTCTAATACTTTTTAAAATCTAATTTATTTAAACAATACAACAAAATTTAATCAACAATATAGTTGCCGTTGTTTTCTACTACTTGTGCCCAATGCTCAGGAAGCATTTTAATCCCTCTGTGGTAAAATTCTTGTGATTTTGATGCAAAAAATTTGGTCAATGCATTTTTGAGGCATTCTTCATTATTAAATTTTTTTCCAAGAAGAAAGTTTTGCAAAGAACGAAACAAATGGTAATCGGAAGGGGCAATATCAGGAGAATATGCAGGTTGAGGGAGAACTTCAGATTCCAACTGGCGCAGTTTTTCAGCAGTGATTCTTGCAGTATGCGGTCGTGCGTTATCATGGTGAAGAATTACGCCCTTCCGATTAATCAGCGCGGGTTCTTTTTCTCTTAAAGCTTGGGCTAACCTTTCCAATTGGGCACTATACACTGCACTTGTAATGGTTTGGGTAGATGGTAAAAGTTCATAATGAAGAATTCCTTTAAAATTCCACCAAACACACAACATCACTTTTTTCGCATGCAAGTCAGGTTTTGGCATGGGCTGCGGAGCCTCATTTTTGTCCAACCATTGAGGCCGCCTTTTCAAATTAACATACAGCACCCATTCTTCATCTCCGGTAACAATTTGCTCTAAAAACGGCAAATGGTTTTGACGAGAGAGGAGCGAACTGCAAATTGTGACTCTTTGATTATGGTTGTTGTCGGTCAACTCATGAGGAACCCATTTTCCAAACTTTTGGACTTTGCCAAGTGCACACAATTGATTGGAAATTGTTTTTTGTGAACAATTTAAAGTTGTCACAAGCTCTTGTTGAGTAATTTGAGGATTTTGCACCAAAAAAGCTTGAAGAGCTTCTTGATCAAAATTGGACACACAGCCTCGACCACTCTTGTCATCTAATGAAAAATTTCCCTCGCGAAATTTCTCAAACCAACGCTGGCATTTTCTGGCGCTAACTGCATCTTGACCAAGAGCACTACAGATGTTTTTTGCAGCCTCACTTGCTTTTCTTCCTAATTGGAACTCGTAAAGCATGCAGTGCCGAATATGCTCTTCATCCGCCATCTTCTTAGCCCTAGTTTTACAACAAAAACCAAACCAAACACAAACTTTTTCAAGCAAAACTTGTTAATTGCACTTCACACGTTCTGTAGATACCACATGTTTGAAGGTTATGTCAATACAAGTCAACGCCAAGCAAGATTTTAAACGAATGTTTAAAAACGACATTAAGTATTACTAGACCTAAAGATGGGAGTTAGAGAATAAATGTGATAGAGAAGGTTATCTGAAGGCTGAGCCCTGATAATTTGCAAGTTTTAGTGGTTGGAAAGAGGTAGAGAATTCAGCAAAAAGTTTCTGAGTTGTCCTGTAATGAGTAGTTGTTAGTGAGGCATGTAATTTTTCCTTGACTCATATTTTAAGTATTAGACACAATACCGCCACAGGCATACTTAAGAGCATAGTGTATACTAGCCTGAACATATCTCCTTTGTTAATTCACAATAAATTAAAGGCAAAAATGTAGTTACAAATTACTGTCTTGGGGTATTTGCTCAATAGTCTTCTTTGATTAAATCTGTTTAGTCAAACACTAAAGGTACTGGGAATAATTTAACTTATGTAATAAAAATGTCTGCTCAATCCTTCAAAAGCTTAGTGCCTAAAAGTGTTTCTTGTGGCAGTCAGAACTGAATAAACAGTAATTCCATGCTGTAATGTTTTATTGCAAAGGTACTTAATAATCACAAAGCCATTATATGTAGCAAAGAACACTAAAAATCATTACTTTAGGGAATATTTCCCACTCATTTTCTTTAGCAACATAAAGAAATATCAATGAGGGGAAAAAAAAGGGCATTTCTTGAAATAAGGAACCATATTCAAGTTCTTTCATCAATATTTTCACTTCTGACTTACTATGATGCTTTAGTCGAAGTGTATAACCTTAGAGTGAGTATAATGTGTGCTGCCCTCAGAGCTCTCTGGAAGACAGCCAGGGATAATGACAATGGGGATTATAGGCGTGTTAGAAAATGCCTCATTGACCAGCTGTTGTGCTTAGAATGGCCCTATGATTGGCTAAAGAAAGATGGCATGTGACTAACTTGATATGAGCAAGAACCCTTATGAAACCATGGTCTATGCCTGACACAAATTTAAAGGGTTAAGTCCCGGGAGCAGGAGGTTAACACTCCTTGTGTTTCATATGTTTTGGATCTCAGAAAAAAAGAGTCTGAAATTTCATTCTAGGACCATTTCCAACGGCTGCCAGTTAAAGAGGTAGATGCTATCTAATGACGGGACCACTTCCAGACTATAAACTACAAGGTATGGAAAACAGTGGTTAAAGGATTCATGCATATTTTAAAATCCTTTTGTTTTTTTCCTATGCCCTGGTATAGTTTCCTATGATGTGACTTTTTTGTTGTTGTTGTTTACTTCTGATGCTTACATATTAAATCTTTCCTGTTCAAAATTTCAGTGAATGATTAGGCATTTCAATTTATTGCTTAGAAATGTACTTCTAATCAATTTAAAAACATATTGGGATGTTTGTAAAGACATTTGTTTAGTTTGAAAAATTTAACTCAGTTCTTTACAAAGTATGTTCTATAGTGTCCTATGGAGTCCTGAGTTGTTATGGTCTGCTGTCATTCAAACTAAGGTCCCATTTGCAGTTTCGATGTGTTGATATGTGCACTGATGGAGCAAAAGCGATATGGTCAAAACTGCCAGCGCCTTAGTATGAATAAGACAGTGGCACCAAACTGTGCTAGAGTCATTATATTTGTTTTTTCAAATACTCCAGAAAAAAAGAATTCCAGTTTTGCTTCAGAATATTCTTGATAAAGTAGTAAAAAGAATATTAATTCTATTAAATCTTGATAGGTACAGGTCTTCCTAATGTGCTAGCCAACAAAATGAAAAGAATGCATAAACACTGCTGCCTGCTAAGTACAATGGTTGTCTTGAGGGAAATTCTCAGACTTTTGAGTTGAAAGTTGTAATAGCTACTCCTTAACATATATCACAATTTTTACTTGTAAGAGCCACTGATAAACCAATTATGGTTATTTAGACTTGGTTCTTTGGAAAATAGTTTATTTAAAATTAATGAAATGAGATTGTCACTTTAAGGAAAACAACTAACAATTTGTTTTTTGTGATAAAATTTGAAAACACAAGTGAACATTACAATTTTGAGAGAGATGAACATTACAATTTTGAAAACTTTCATAATTTCCTGTACATTTGACAACTTTGCAATACTTAAAGACTTTTTAATGAGATTGGTGTTGAGACTATGGGATATTAATTTTTGATATTGTAAAATGAGATATGTAACTTAATTTTTACACTATCCTGTTATACATAACTATTAATAACGAACTATAATGTTCACTAATGACTGATTATTATAATCGTGTTGCATTCATTTCCCTTACATACCTTAAGTGCAGGCGCACCATTTCTCTTCATTAGTACTGACAGAGAATATTTTAGCAGCCAATCTCTACGTCATTAGTCTTGCACTGACTTGTTTAGTGAGCACAACAAAAAATATTTTGCTTTCGGAGAACAAGAAAAATAGGTTTATTTGCATTACTCTTATTAATTTGTGCAGTTATTCAGTGTCTATTAAGTTAATGTTTAAGAAAAAATATTAATTTTTATAAGATGTGCTATTATTTTACGTTAATGATTACTCATTTATTTCTGCCCTTTGTATTCAGCATGTCTCTATAGAAATAAACATATGTTTCTATGAAAATTGAAGCTTTTTTTTTTTTGCAGCCTACATAAAAGTAAGCCTTGTTTATTTAGCCCATATTAGCCTTTGAGTTTGACATGTTTGGGGTAGAGTCAAAGAATATACCCAATTATTTGAAGAGGCTATCAAAATACTCCTTCTTTTCAACTATATCTTTGGATGAGACACAATTTTCCTAAAATATTTTCATCAAAACATCACAATGCAATATAGTGAGTTCCAAAAGCAGATAGACATGTTTCATTTTTTTAAAACATAGTTCTTAAAAATAAAAATGTCATTTAAAATGATTTATTTTTGTTATTTTAAATAAATAAATATGAAAGTGTTTATTTTCAATTTTTTTAAAAAAGTAAATATTAGTAGTAACTTACATAAACCATATCTGTTTAGGCTTCTTAACAATTTTTAGGGGTATGAAGTTGTCCTAAAACCAAAATGTCTGAGTAGCTCTGATTTAATTTTTTGCAAGGAATAAGTCAGCCGTAACAGAACTGTATAATTATAGGGTGCTAATTTATTAGCCCAAAACTATATTTTAAAAATATATAAGCCCACAAAAAGGTTATTTTTTTAATCATTCACTAACTCAGCCCATCACATATTTAATAAAATGCTAATGCATCTAAAGACTGTGCAGATCAGAAGCTTAAAAGGGTATAATGTTAGTCCTTCAGATGTTTTTGTGTGTCTTCTATTGCTTATCTCCTGGTACCAGGCATTTAACACAATTACTTCCACAATCATACTGAGGATCTCTAACAATACATATATTTTGATGATCAGCACTTTATTTTACCCTACTTCAAATAGTCTTAGGTTGGTTATAGCCCTGTTACTAAAATCCTGGAAGAACAATTATTTTAGGAGAGAAAAAGCAGAAATGATGTAGTCCAAGCTTTCTTTTGGCAAAGACACAAATAGAAGCTCAGAGTAGAGTAGATAATATACACAGTTAGAATGTGACTAATCCTAGGATTAAATCTAGTTTCTTGGTTAAATACTCTTTTCAGGATACTGCTATTAATTCTCTATGATTTTTACCTTCTGACAAGGTGAAATCTTTGCTTTTGAGTGCAAAATATTGAATTACAATGTTATAGCAATTTCATAGACCTAAGCCAGTGCTCTTTGAAACTTTCACATAATCCTTCAGTCCACTAGGAGGTGCCAATTTTATTAAGTCAGTGTTTTGAGGTATTAAACTAGAGGTGAAAAGATTGAATACTGTAAATTAAATTTGGAACTTTAGCTTAATTGTCTAGTTAGTACTGCCCTAGTTGCTACTACCATACCTGTTTTATAAAAAATAATTTTTATTGTGATTATTCAATAAGATTGCTAAACTGGAGCCTTTGGGCGAGATAGATGTTAACATAAGAAATATTTAAACTTGTGAAATATTTTTGTGAGTTTATTTGAGCCAAAACTTTCGACAATTGCCAGGAAGCAAAATCTCAACAGATGTGTCTCTTTTGTAAAATTTTTGCAGTATTTTTCTTCTTTTTATAATGCATATAGCTTTTTCTACATGGGTTTTAAAGCTGTTCCTAGTTATAATTTACATTTTTTGTTTTTGTGAAACAAATAATTATATTATTTGCAGTTGGATAATACTAATAAAGTTTGGCATATTAATACTATTGTTTGGCATACTTACTTTTTGAAGGAAGTCACTTTGAAATATTTTATTAGCTTAGCAGTTTTCCCCTTAATTAGGTTGGATTTTCTATGTAAAAATAGTATTTTTACTTACCAGTCTTTCAAAAGTTAAATGTCCTCTTACAGTTCTCTGCCCTACCAGAAGCATATAAAAAACTATTAAATAACATTTAAATCTCTAATTTCAACAATGAGCAAAACCACAGCTCAAAGGAAATAACTTATGTTAATACTAGCTAGTTTAAAAAGTAAACATATTAACTGTAACCGATATCTTCTATCCCTATTTAAAAAAGGTTATGGTCATCTTCTCATTTGATATATTAATATAGAAAAAGAATAAATCGTTCTCTTTTAAATTTTTAATGAATTTGTTGATATTTTAGTTCTTTATAATAAATTTCCGGAAATTGTATAGTAATGATTAAATCTCTGTTTACAACTGATCTCTATCCTATACCAAAAAGCAGATAGGGGAGAATAACTTGTAATATTTGAGATGTGTCATTAAACTTAAATTTCTCATCTTACTGCTAATTAGGCATCTAACTATAGCTTTCATGAGGAAATTTTGACAAGCCAACATTGCATCATGGCTGATATCATTCATGAATTATGGGAATAAAGAAACTCCTCCAGTGAGAAGTACTTGAATTATGCATAGATAATAAGAGAGATAAGCACAAAATTAGTACACTCACTCTAGATAAACAAAACACAAGGTTTAAAAAGGGAGGGAGATTGATAAACTTCAGTGTTATGTAAATTTGGAATGGGTAAGAAATCAAGCTGTATTACAAAGCCGCTGTTCTCAAAACTGCCTGTTACTGACGCAAGAACAGATATATACAGACCAATGGAAGAGAATAGAGAACACAGAAATTGAGTCAAACCACTATGCTCAATTAATATTTGACAAAGGAGGCAAAAGCATACAATGGAGTCAAGACAGTCTCTTCAATAAATGGTGTTGGGAAAATTAGACAGATACATGCAAAAAATTCAACTAGACCACCAACTTACACCATACACAATAATAAACTCAAAATGGATGAAGGACTTAAACCTAAGATTGGAAACCATAAAAATCTTAGAGGAATCCATAGGCAGCAAAATCTCAGACATATGCCGTAGCAATATCTTCATAAGTATAGCTCCTAAGGCAATAAAATCTAAAGAAAAAAATAAATAAATGGGACTGCATCAAACTAAAAAGCAAAAACAAACAAACAAACATAAAAACAAACAAAAAAAACCAAAAACATAAAAACAAAACAAAAACAACAACAAGAAAGCCCACTGCCTGGAAGAACATATTTGCCAATATTATCTCTGATAAGGGTTTAATCTCCAACATTTACAGGGAACTCTTACAACTTAACAAAAGGATGATAACACAATAAAAAAAAACGAGCAATGGACCTAAATAGATACTTTTCAAAAGAGGACATAAAGAAGGCAAAGAGATATATGAAAACATGCTCAAAGTTACGAATCATCCAAGAGATGCAAATCAAAACAACAATGAGGTACCATCTCACACTTGTCAGAATGGCTATCATCAACAAATCAATGAACGACAAGTTCTGACAAAGATGCGAAGAAAAAGGAACCCTCATGCACTGCTGGTGGGAATGCACACTGGTGTAGCCACTGTGGAGAACAGTATGGAGTTTCCTCAAAACAAAAATCAAAACTCCCATTTGACCCAGTGACCCCACTTCTAGGAATATGTACCAAAAACTAGAAACACCAATCAGAAAGGCTATATGCATCCTTATGTTCATTGCAGCACAACTTACAATAGCTAAGATTTCGAAACTGCCTAAGTGCCCATCAGTAGATGAGTGGATTAAAAAACTGTGGTGCATCAACACAATGGAATACTATACTG